AACATTTTAAGTCTATTAAAAGAAATACCCAACTTTTAGAATTAATTCACAATGACGTATGTGATTCAAATAGACCTCCAACTAGAGGTGGGAAAAAGTACTTTGTGACATTCATAGATGATTGTTCAAAATATTCTTATGTATACGTAATTAAAACAAAGGATGAGGTGTTTGAAAGATTTAAAGTGTACAAAAATGAAGTGGAGAATCAACTAGAGAAGAAAATTAAAAGACTTAAGTCCAATAGAGGAGGAGAGTATCAATGGAATGTTCTTGGTATATTCTGTAAAGAAAGTGGAATTATACATGAAGTTACTGCCCCTTATTCACCTCAATCTAATGGTGTGGCAGAAAGGAAAAATTGGACTTTGTTGGACATGGTAAATGCTATGTTAACTAGTTCTGGTGTATCCGAGAATTTGTGGGGGGAAGCAATACTCATTGCATGTTTAATACTTAATAGGGTAACTGTTGGAGATAATGAAAAGACCCCATATGAAGTTTGGAAAGGAAGAACACCTAATATTAAATTCCTACGAGTGTGGAGGTGTTTAGCAAAGGTGGCTATACCTGAAACTAAGAAAAAAAAAATAGGACCTAAAATAGTAGATGTTATTTTCTTAGGTTATGCCAAAAATAGTAGTGCTAATAGATTTTTAGTGTTTAACTCTGAAATTAGTTAAATTAGTGAAATATCAAATAATACAATAATTGAGTCTAGAGATGCTACATTTTTCCATTTAAAACAAGAATTCCACACCATATAGTTGAGAAACAATCAAACTCTACTCACGAGAAACCCTCTTCTAGTATTTCTTCCGAAAAGGAACCTGAATCTCAAGTTGAACTTAGAAGAGTAAAAGACCCCTAATAGAGAAGAATTTTGGAGAACGATTCTATACATTTGTAGTAGAAGGAGAACCAAACACCTACAAGGAAGCCATGTCTTCCATAGATGCTCCTTTTTGGAAGGAGGCTACAAATAGTGAATTTGAATCTATAATTCAAAATAATAATTGGGTGCTGACTAATTTGCCTCCTGGAAATAAATCCATTGGTTGTAAATGGGTATTTAGAAAGAAGTTAAGACCTGATGGAAGTATAGACAAGTATAAGGTAAGACTAGTAGTTAAGGGATTTACACAAAAGAAAGGAATAGATTATTTTGACACTTACTCACCTGTATCTAGTATTACCACTATTAGGATATTAATAGCTTTAACATCCATACACAATTTAGTAATTTATCAAATGGATGTAAAGACCGTATTTTTAAATAGAGATTTAGATGAAGAAATCTATATGGAACAACCTGAAAGTTATATTGTAAAAGGACAAGAACACAGGGTATATAATTAGTCAAATCATTATATGGTCTTAAGCAAGCTCCTAAGCAGTGGCATGAAAATTTTGATAGAGTTATTTTGGATTATGGATTTAAAATAAATGAGCATGATAAATGTTTATACTATAAAGAGAGTAATGGAGATCATGTGATACTATGTCTTTATGTGGATGACATATTAATTTTTGGAACAAATTTGGAAATAGTAAAAGATATTAAGACATACTTATCTTTGAGTTTTAATATAAAAGATTTAGGAGAAGTTTATATGATCTTAGGAATGAAAATTGAGAGAAATTTAGAAGGAATTACTATAAGTCAATCTAATACAATTAAGAAGATGTTGAGAAAATTTAATTATTTTGAGAGTAAACCTGTGTCAACTCCTTATGATCCTAATGTACATTTGAAGAAAAATAGTGGTGATCCTGTTTCCCAATTAAAATATTCACAAATGATTGGATCTTTACTATATTTAGCTAATAAAACTAGGCCTGATATTTCATATGCTGTGGGAAGACTTAGTAGATAGACTCATAACCCGAGTACAGAACATTGGACAGCTTTAGAGCGAGTTTTTAGATACCTAAGAGGGACTATTGAAAATTCTTTATGTTATAAATGTTTTCCTGAGATGGTAGAGGGATATAGTGACGCTAATTGGATTACTGATAGTTTAGAGGTTAAATCCACTAGTGGCTATGTATTTCTCTTAGGAGGAGCTACAATATCATGGAGTTCCAGAAAACAAACAATTATATCCAGAAGTACAATGGAATCAGAGCTTATAGCATTAGATACAACATGCATTGAAGCTGAATGGATTAAGAGTCTCTTATTAGATTTGCCATTAGTAAATAAATCAATTCCAGCAATACATATACATTGTGATTGTAAGGCAACTATTAATCTAGTGAGACAATCCTATACAAATAAGAAAATGAATAGACATATACAAGTAAGATTAAGTCTGTGAGGAGCATGTTGAATAGGAGTATAATCTCCTTAGAATATATTAAGTCAGAAAAGAACTTAGCTGACTAATTGACTAAAGGTTTGTCTAGGAGCGTAGTCCTAGATTTATCGAGGGGAATGGGCTTAAGCCAATAAGGGAGTCACCTTCGGAGGTAACCCATCCTTTGTGATTGGAGATCCCTTGAAGAAGGTTCAATGGGTAGAAACAATCCGTACTGCGTGACTCGTTTACAGCACTTTATTTAGGAGGTTTCTCAAGAAGATTCTTTCCTACCCATCCCTATGGCATTTGTGCTGTTTAATGTGACGTTAGGAAGGGCATTGCCCTGAATGAGCCCGAGGTAAGCATACTCTTGCAAGGTATCTGTCACATGTACCTTTGGAGGACTCACCTAAATGGGAGCTGTCGTAAGGTCGCGACTATAAGAATTGGATTGTTCTCTAATAACTCTTATGAGAATCAAGATACAAGCGCATGGCCATTAATAGCATTAAACCGTGAAACCAAGTTTATCGTCAATATTGTGCGTGTGATATGTTAAAGTTTGACTCAAGGGCCGAGTTCAAGACCTAGTCTCTCAGAACCCTCAAATGAAAACTATCGACACAAAGTGCAAGTTCAAGTCCGGAAGACTCTTGCACCCATTGCATAGTATTCAGTTGCCCCATTATGATATCTTTTTTAATTACGTATATATTCTATATGATCTTTATTTATTTTTAAGTTTTAAAACTTGTGGGGGATTGTTAGAGTTATTAGAGAAGTTTTAAAACTTCCAACTCTAGAATTTCTATTGGTTAGAAATTCAAAAATCCTTAACTAATTAACTGTAGATGATACTAATTAAATTAAAAAGAATTAAATTAAATGCTATAATTGTTAAGCCAAACGGCACATCTAGGTTTATACATGTTGATGAAATTCTATTAATATGTAGGTTTTGATTAGCGGAGAAATTAATAAAATAAAATCTCTTCTACTCTCAGAAAAACTACTGCAATTATATTATCTCTCTGCTATCATACAGTCTACTCCTATTATATATATATTCACTATTTCTCTTGGGCAACGTGACATCAAAACTTGTTGAAAGCTTCTCTGTGATCGTGCGTATAGGGAACCATTGGAGTTGTATCTTAGAGTTTTTGGTGGATCGTAATGATCTGCATGTAAGGGAGACTTCAAAGGCTTTAGGACAACGCATTGCGTGCCTCTCTATCAAACAGGCTAATACTATCGATTTTTCTCTGTTCTGATTTGTTTTCTATTTTAATACAATTATATTTGTTGTTTAATTATTATTGAATATTAATTATTTTATTATAATTATTCTCTTTTTTTTAAAACATCTTTTCCATTCTATAAATAGAAGTATTTTACAATCTGTAAATTATTAATATACTTAACAGTGGACACCTCCGGACAATTCCACGAAGGACTCCGATGACAACCAATGAGGAGGAGCGAAGGGAAGAAGTGGATGGGTTGATTGAGAAGACTATATTTTGGGGGACGTCGTACCACTTGTTGGTTTTTTTGGATGATTCTTCATTTTGGCAAGTAGGTCTCAATTTCTCTCTCTTTACCTATACACGTGGATTCAATTCTCTGTCCTAACTGAAGCGAGACTGCTTTTCTTTAGTAGCTATTTAAATATCTATTTTGAATGTCATTGTGTATATCATTTCCCCAATAGAATAACAATGGAGTCGTGCTCTTGAAATTTACCATAAAGGCATTGAATGGATTTACCTGAAGTGCTATGGAAGATTCAACCTACTCCCATTGGTTGAATTCAGTCAAAGACAAGAGACTACCTGAGCGCTTCTCAAAAGAAAAAGAAAAAAAAAAAAGAAAAAGCAGTGGCAGTGAAGAACTGTAGTTATGTGAGTACGTGTATATATATATATAGAGAGAGAGTCATATATACGGAGTATATGTTTATTTATAGATAGAGAGAGGGAAGGACCTTGAATAGATGGAGAGAGATCTGGTAAGGTTTTAGGGAGAGGAGCAAAGTAGATACAGAAGAAATCATCAACATATATAATTATATATGGAGGACATGAAAGAGCTTGTTTTTCTCTCCATATTGAGGGTATATAAGTAATTTTATTTATCAAAAAGTGATGGTGCAATTGTCTTTGCAACCTATCTAAGGGCAAATGTGATATTTCTCTATGAAAAGATGCTGACACTAGCAAAAAAACGACATTGACTGGGTTGACCCTTAACCCAAAGGATATAGTATTATGACACAGCTAAATTTGAGAGAGGTCCATGTAATTTTTGAAAGCGGAGGGTAACTGTGTGTAATTCGGCCTAACCTCGAGGGAGGTAGGTGCTATTTCCCAAAATACAATATTTTTTCAAATGTATGAATAGTGCAAAAGTGTTCTAATTGATTTTTTTTTTTTTTTTGAAAGGTTAAGCAATGTATAGATAGAAGAAAACTGTACATGGAGGCCTTTGGCCATAACAGCCCATAAAGGGCAACAGGCCTAAAGAGGCACAAAACAAGAGGCCAATGGCCAAAACAAACAAGAAACAAAACCCCAGACCAATACAAGCCTAATAACGTTGTTTAACAAACTAATAAAAAAGCCGTTAAACTAAGTTGTCAAGCTTTCAATCCGGTAGCAAAGCCCTAAATCGGCAAAAGGGATCCCTCTGTAATAGCTAATCCGGCGGTCTCGGAGGAGGACGACAGCATGCCAGAGACAAATTCCAAGGCTGCAAAATACATCTAGATGCTTCACAATCCTTAAGGCAGCGCAATTGGAGAAGGCTTGTGATTGTATTGCTGACCTTAGTCAACACCAATCTCTGCGAAGACGATTTGCCTTTGAAGATTCGATTATTACGTTCTTCCCATATGTGATACACCATGGCTGAGAGGCATATCTTCTGAAGCATATTGATTGGAGAGCTTCCCTTCCATCGGTGGCTAATCCACAAAATCATGTCCTCCCAAGAGAGGAATGGTTTGTAGAATTTGCACCTATCTTGTATGAATTTCCACAATGGTGAGGAGAAGATGCATCTGAAAAAGAGGTGGGAGTGGGATTCAGGCTCAGAATTGCATAGAGCACATATGCTATCATGACTAGCCATTGCTCTGCTGTCGAGGGTTGGGAGTCTACTTTGGGCTGCGAACCACATGTTGAATTTCATCCTTGGAATTGTGAGAGAGCACCATACAAGGTTGTTCCAAGCAATTTGATCACCGTTGCCTGCAAGATGGAGAGTGGTATGTTTGAGATTAAAGGTACCAGAGGGGGATGCTGACCAAATTAGCTTATCTTTTCTGGTTGAGCATGGCTGAGGAAGAGCAAGAAGTTCAGGAACGGCATTGGAGAGTGAATGGGGGAATGACCATGAGTTATTCACTATGAATCTACCTACAAGAGTGAACTCATCAGCTCCCAAGTTTGAGAGGATGTGGGAAGGAAAACATAAGCTGAGAGGACCTGCTGGAGACCAATTGTCCAACCAAAAGTTGGTATCCATTCCATTGTCGATGACATGCTTGATGATGAGTCTAGCTGGATGCCTCAGCTGAAGAATTTTCCGCCAGCTCCAAGAGCAAGGTTGGGGGATCTTCAAGCTCCAAAAGCTTCTATTCTTTATGAGGTAAATTCTGCACCAATTGATCCATACTCTGTCTGAATTGTCTGTATGAAGGTCCCAAATATATCTGAGAATAGCAGCTCTATTTGCAACCTCAAGGTTAGGGATGTCTAGGCCACCTTCAGCTTTGGGCCTGCAGACATTATACCATGTAACTTTTGACCCTGTAGATTTCAATTCTGGTCCAGACCAAAGAAATGATCTGAAGATCTTGTTCAGCTCATTGATTACACTTTTTCGGAGGACAAAAATACTAGACCAATAGAGCTGAGTTGAGACAAGGACAGCTTTAAGAAGCTGTAAATGACCTGCATAGGAAAGGGATCTGGCAGACCAGTGAGAGATCCTATGAGTGATTCTTTCAATGAGAGTTCTACAATCAGAGCTCTTGAGGTTTGTAGTGATCAGTGGAACCCCGAGATGTCTAATAGGCAGACCGCCTTTCTGAATGCCAAACATATCAATGATTACTTCTTCCATCTGAGGGTGAATGCCTGCACAAAAGATTGAACTTTTTGACAGGTTGATTGTTAGACCAGACATCGAGTAGAAGAGGTCAAGGGCTGATTTCAGTATGGATATGGATTCAATGTCTCCATGGCATAGTAAAAGGAGGTCATCAACAAATGATAGGTGGGTGATACGTTGCTCCTTACATCTCCAATGATGCTTGAATCTTGGAGCTCGAGTAACATAGTTGCTGATAATGGATGACAGAGCTTCAATAACAATGACAAACAGGAACGGGGAGATTGGATCTCCTTGTCTCAACCCTCTCTTCCCCTTAAAAAACCCCTGAAATTCTCCATTCAGAGCAATTGTGAATGATGGGGATGAGATACAAGACAGGATAAGGGAGATAAACTTTTGAGGAAATTTGAGAAGAGTGAGGCAGTTGGAGATGAAGTCCCAATTTACAGAGTCAAAAGCTTTCATAAGCTCAATTTTGATAGCACACCTAGGAGGGCCAATGTCTTTGTGATAGCCTCTTAAAAGCTCATGTGCAAGGAGGATGGAGTCAGTGATCTTTCTGCCTTGGACAAAAGCTGTTTGAGTAGTGTCAATGATATGAGGAAGGGTAAGTTGAAGCTTGGAAGCCAACAATTTTGCTATACACTTGTGGATGGTGTTGCAGCAGGATATTGGCCTGTAGTCATTAACAGATGAGGGATTTGAACACTTTGGAACAAGTTAAATGTAAGTGCAGTTGATCTCATAAAGGAGCTTCCCATTCCCGAAGAATTCAGAGATGGAATTCAGAGATGGCCTTAATAATTGAGTTCCCCACAATGTGCCATGTCTTTTGGAATACTTTAAAAATGCCTGAAGTACATGTGTCAGGACACCCAAAACCTCGGACAGAGGTATAGCTCATTTATCTTACATAACAAGCATATCAAATAATTCAAACTTATTATAAAATTATTCATAGAACTCGTGTATTATGCTCATTTGCTACAAAATAGTGAAAACACTAAATTACTCAAAATAAATAAATAAAATAAAATAATAATATACAGGTTTGAGGATTTGATAACATAATTCAAACTTATTATAAAATTATTCATAGAACTCGTTTATTATGCTCATTTGCTTCAGAATGAGTGACAACATTATTTTACTCTTACAAAAATAGAAAGAAAAATATTATGTAGGTTGGGAATTGATAAAATTATAAACTCGGACACTTACCTCCACCTGAGTTCACGTAACATGGGAAGTACTATAAGTTACAAAGAAAATTCAATTAGTGCCACTGCTTGGTGGTACAAACTTGAGCAAAACAAAAAAGCACTAGTTGCAGTTACTTTGTGGACATCAAAGGGAGGCCGGGTCTATACCTATTATACCTCTCCCAACACCCTGAAGTTAAGGGTCTATTAGACATTAATGCTCTCTATGGCATTAGTTGCAGTTGCTTTAAAGTAGGCGGTTTGAATTTTAAAGACCAGAATCAGCAGCGGTATCTTACAGCAGTTCGAAGTATGGACATACTCTCTTCCCCTGGCTTGTTTTAAAGTAGAAAGTAGCAGGCATTATTACTTAAAAATTTGTCACTTGTTGCATACACCAACACATGTATAGAAACTTACATCTTGAACAATTTACATCTTTTTAAAATTTGGGACTTTCGAAAATCAAAGATATTTACATCTTGAACAATTTAGTTCCAAAGGAAGATAGATACATCTCAAGCCAATAATTCATAATAACACAAAATTTAGTTCGTTATTATCATTTTTTTTTTTTTTTTTTCTCAACAACAGAAAATTTCATTAAAACACCCGCACACACCAAAAAAAAAAAAAAAAAAAAAGGTTAAAACCCATCAGGGCATGTTTGGTGTGGTGGAATGGGTTAGAATGGAATGTCTATTCCACTTTTTGATTCCCTTTCCCTTGTTTGGTATTCCATATTTAAAGTGGAATGAGAATTCCAACTAATTCCCTGGGAATGCTCATTCCATCATTTTGTTGGAATCACCATTCCACTTTTAGACCAGTGGAATGACCATTCCATTTCCACTGAGAATTTAATTAATAACTTAAAAGACAAAAATACCCTTTGCCTTATTTGATACATCTCATCTAGTTTCATATTTTCCCAATGGACAACACATTGAAAATGAACTTGCCGGACTAACTTTTTAGTTTGGTCAGTGATGATCACTGGTCTCGTCGGACCTGTTCACGAAGTTTGTCGGAACTATTGGTCGCCGTGACTGAAGCACGCTGGAACTGATGCTTCAATTGAATTGTCGATGCTCAGTGACTAAGTTTTGGATGTGAACTTTGGTGGGTCATCGGAGTGAGCTAAAACTTAGCAACTCGCCAAAATGATGAAGATTCTGCAACTGGAGCACATTGGAATTAATAGACCTTTGCTGCTCGGAATTCAGACCAGAATCACTGGTTGAATGTGTTGGTGGTAGAAATCACTCACAAATAATCACTTATGGTGATTAATATAACCCACAGGAGAGAGATAAACAAAAATTCATTGAAGAAAAACTAAAACACAAATACAGAATTTCTCTCTTTCTCTTTGCCATTCTTTCTTCTTTTCTCTCTCTATATTTCATTCATTTATTTCATATATTCATATCTTCATTTCTAAACTACATATGCAACAATCTATTTATAGGCTTCCAATACGCGTAGAAGCTATCAAGTTGAATTCCACCGGATGGTTGCTTCACGGCACCTTCCATGGTCGGTGGATAGTTGTGGCTGCTTCCAGAAGCTTCTCATGGCTTCTTGTCGATTCTTGATTTTCTTGCAACTTCTGGGTTCTAGTATAACGTTGCTTCTTACATCTTCTTGCAGCTTCTAGGTTCTTCTGGTAGTGAGGAGAATTAAGTTTACTTTCAACATCCCCCTTTAAACTTGATTCTCCAAATTTCTGCATTCCCAATATCATCTTCAGTAATGTTGACTTCACATCAAGTTGGTAAAGCTTCCATCTATTCTGGGCAACGACAGATATCATTAGTCTGATTGTCTCTAGTCGGACAACAGGAGCAAACACTTCTCCATAATCTAATCATTTTCTTTGTTTGTAGCCCTTTGCTACAAGGCGTGCTTTGTATCTTTGAGCTTTGCCTTTTTCATTCTTCTTTGTCTTGTACACCCATTTCACTCCAATAGGCTTATGACCTTTTGGTAGACTACATAGCTCTTATGTATCATTTTTCTCTATAGCTTTGATTTCTTCATCCATAGCCGTCTTCCATTTCTTCACTTGGATAGCTTCTGTGAAGCTAACAGGATCACTATCCAAAAATAAACATAACAAATTTGTTGGGTTTATTTCCTTCTATATGGAGGAAAACCCAAGTGGGTTTTATTAAAAGCCCAAGTGGGTTTTATTAAAAGCCCAAAGTCTAGCCTTTAGGGAAAAGAAAACCCTAAGGAAGTTAGTATAAAAAGAGGGAGTCTCATGGAGTACACGGAGAACTTAGGAAGAGTTTGCGTGTATGATCTGGTGTTGAAATTCTCTACAATTGTAATATCTCTACATATATAGTGAATCTCTTCTCATCCATGGATGTAACCCTGATTTTGGGTGAACCACGTATATATCTTGTGTTGTGTTTGTTATTGTTTTTTTCTTTCTTTCTTTTACTTCCGCTGTGCCCAACAACTGGTATCAGAGCCAAAGGTGAAGGAGATCTAAAAAACACAAGAAGTCTCAACATGTGCTACAACGGGCTTTAGTTGTAGGTGGAGTCAATCGGCTTGGTTACATGGCATGGAGCTTGAGTAGTTAAGGTGGAGCCTTGGGGTTTTGACTGATTAAGCAATGTATAGTGGGGATAATCTGAGTTCTACAACAAGATCGAGAAGATTGAAGTCGCAGAGAATTGTCCAGATTTAATTGCCATGAGAAGCGATAATTGACGTAATAGAATTTGAGCCAAGGTGGAGATACCGGACCATGTATTCAGGTGATCAGATAAAGGAGTCCCGTCCTGGTATCTCAAAGCCATCATCTGCTTAATCAGAAACAATTTATTATTTCCAGTCTGTCTAGCATATAGCTGTTCAAGCTTACTCCATAGAGAACATGCATGTGTCTCTCCACTAATATGGTTCAAAACATTATCATCTACCCATTGCCTGATATACCCACAGACCTGTCGATGTAACAAAGTCCATTCCACATCAGATTTGTTTTCTGGTTTTTCAGCACTAAACACCGGTAAGTAATAATCTTTCACATAAAGAAGATCCTCCATTTTTCCTTTCCATATGTGATAATTTAAACCATTAAAATTAATCATTCTACTTGTATTTGCTTCCATAACTCAAACTGCCAACCTGGCAATCTGTCAACCTAGAGCTCTGATACCACTTTGTTGGGCACATCGGAAGCAAAAGAAAGAAAGAAAAAATAACAATTCAAACCACAACACAAGATATATACGTGGTTCACCCAAAATCAGGGTTACATCCACGGATGAGAAGAGATTCACTATATATGTAGAGATATTACAATTGTAGAGAATTTCAACACCGGATCATACACACAAACTCTTCCCGAGTTCTCCGTGTACTCCATGAGACTCCCTCTCGCCATCAGTGTTCACTCTACCAAACCCGTAACTCATCCCTACCAATATCGTACTCCCTCATGAGGCTAAATCTTTCTCAACTCATAACTCTCAACAATAGCCTAAGTGTCTATTTATAGAGTCACATACCCAATTCATTGGTGGACAAGGATTAAAATTTCTTAGAGCCCAATACATGTTTCTACAAGAAATTACCATAAAAAAATACACTCTAAAATAGAAACTAATAATAATGGGAATTTGAGACATAATTCCTAACAAAATTCTGATCTTCCTCCATTTTAGTAGCTTTATATACTTCCCTCAGGCTTCTCATTTTTCTGGGTCTTTCACTTAAACTCTCATTTGATGAGGGATCATTTCTAGAAGGTATGGGAGATCAGTATAAAAGAATCTGTGGCACCGTTGCAACTTCTCTTGCTGCATTTTCTTCATCTTCTTCTAGAACGAGCTCTATGTTTTTCACTGCTTCGTACTTATCCCAATTCCAAGTTTCATCTTCTTCAAATATTACGTCTCTACTCATAATAGCTTTTTTGGTGATGGGATTAAACAGCTTATATCCCGTTGTTCTGTCACCATAACCGAAAAAAATATAATTTTGTTTTTTGTCGTCAAGCTTGGTTCTTCTGGCTTCTGGGATCTTGGTGTGGGCAATACACCCAAAAATTCTGAAATGATTAATGCATGGTTTGTATGAACTCCAAGCTTCTTCAGGTGTCTTGAAACAAAGTCTTCTGGTTAGACACCTATTCAATAAGTAAATAGCACAAGATACTACTTTAGCCCAAAATTCTTTGGGTAATGCTTCTGACTATATCTAATATAGTGTGATTTTTCCTTTCAGTAACACCATTTAGTGGTGGCGATTAGGATGGTGTTGTTTGTTGTCGGATGCCGTGCTCTTTGCAGAAGTTTTGAAATACATTCGACATATATTCTCCTCATTGATCTGATCGCAGTGTCTTAATATAGTAGCTGTTTTGCTTTTCGACAAGAGCTTTAAACTCTTGGAAGATATTGAATGCTTCTGATTTCTTCTTCAAGAAGTAGACCCAAGTCTTTCTGCTATATTCATTAATGAATGTAAGAAAATACCTATTTTGTCTTTTTGACGTTGGCTTCAATGGACCACACACATCTGTGTGAACGAGCTCTAGTGGCTTTGTTGCTTGTCACTTGATTTCTTTAGTAAAGCTCAGTCTGTGATGTTTCCCAAGTACGCAGCTTTCACAAACTTCATCTGGATGACTAATATAAGGCAAAGATTTTACCATATTTTTGCTTGCTAACAGCTTCAGGCCTTCAAAATTGAGATGTCTGAATCTTAAATGCCAGAACCAATCTTTGTCTTTAACAACAGCACTTAAACATTTTGCTGAATCGTGCTGAATATTAATAGCAAACATTCTATTCTTGGACATATTTATTTGAGCTATAAGATTTCCATTTGTATCTCTGATGATTAGATACAAATCCTTCATTCTGATGTTGTATCCTTTCTCTAGGAGTTGTCCTAGACTCAAAATATTATTCTTCATATCTGGAACATAGTAGACGTTGGATATGAAGTTATGATCTCCATTTTTAAGCTTGATCAGAATATTGCCTTTTCCTTTTACTGGAATTTTTGTGAACTCACCAAATAAGACTTGTCCTTGCCTAGTCTTGTCAAGTTCAACAAACATGTGTCTTTTTCCACACATGTGATTACTGGTTCCTGAATCTAAAAACCATATATTCTCGTATTCAGGATGCGCATCTTGAGCCATTAGTGATCTTGGCTCATTTATATCTTTCTCTGCAAAATTCACTTGCTCTCCAACTTCGGTTGCTGGATTTCCTTTACATTCATTGCTGTAGTGGCCGTATTTGTTGCAGTTATAAAATTGCACATTACTTTTTTCATAACTTTTGTGATTATTGAAGCTGCTTCCATTGCCGCTAGCTCTTCCTCTTGATGGCTGACTTCTTCCACCTTGATTATTATTTCTTTCTCCATTGAAATTGTTTCTTCTATAGCTATCTCTAAATCCAGCACCTCGTCCATGATAGCCACGACCTCGGCTTCTGCCTCGGTCTCTTCCTTGTCCTCTTTGTGAGGTTCCCCATCGCTCTTCTCTATTTTCATTGATTGTAAGCTTTGATTGAAGAGCTTGCTCTAGGGAAACTTGAAGTGACCTATTTATTGATTCTCTATTTGTGGATTTCTAGTGTGGCCAATAGCTCGTCTACTGTCATTGCATCAAGTTCTTTCGATTCTTCAGTTGCAACAACAACATGCTCAAATTTTGAATTGAGAGATTGCATAAGCTTTTCGAGCACACGAACATCTTCAATCTTATCTCCATATCTTTTAATCTAATTAACAATAGTCAATGTTCTAGTGAAATATTTAGAAATTGACTCATTGTCTTTCATGTGCAATAATTCAAATTCACCCTTTAGAACTTGGAGTCGAACTTTGATTATTTTCTCAATCCCTCGATGTGCTTTGCGAAGGATTTCCCATGATTGCTTGGAGGTGTTGACAGCAGAGATCTTCTCAAAACTTGTTTCATTGACACTTTGATAAATTAGATATAATGCCTTCTTATCTTTCTTTCTGGCTTCTTTAAGCACTACCTTCTGGGCTTCACTTAAGTCATCTACTTCCTTCTTTGAAGTTGGTTCATCGTATCTAGTTTCAATCAAATCCCACAAATCTTATAAGGCAAGAAGGACTATCATTTGAATACACCAGTTCTTGTAATTGTCGTTGTCGAAACGCGAAAGCTGGGGTTAGAAGAAATTGTTGGAGGATGCCATCGGATTTGCTTTACCACTTTGGGTGCTTGATTCTGACAAATCGGAGCAGAATTTGAAAAGATGGACTTCGCGGCTGCATCCAGAACAGTCTGTTTAGCTAAAAATAGATTTTTGCTAGGTTACTATTTGGAATAGTACCGTATTTTTGTACAATACGTATTCTAGAACAGTACGTATGTATACTGGAATAGTAACTGTAGGTGATGAGCACTGAATATTGCATATTTGAGCCCCTAAATATACGTATGTTAAGGCTTAAAGTGATACTTCTATCCATAGTTAGACTGATTTATGTTTTATGTGTGTTTATAGGTACTTTCCCAAAGAAATGGTTAAAACCGGGACTTTATGATGATATCGAAGCTTACAGAGTTGTCGATCATCCAGAGCAAGCCGAGAGCTTAAATGGTGAAGTTTAGAAGAATTCAAGGACCAAAGCTCGAGCCCAAGTCCTGAGGCTCGAGCCTTGCAAGGAAAAGAAGAAAAGTTAACAAGGCATTAAAGCTCGAGCCTTGTACCTTCAAAGCTCGAGCCCTAACAAAGGGGGCTCGAGCCTTACCTTAGGGTGCTCGAGCCTTAACCCTCCAACTCGAGCACAAGCTTTCTAAATTTGAAGAGTTGATTTAATGGAAGAACCAAGCTCCCAAGGCCTCGTGCCAAGATTCAAGGATCGAGCACCATCAATCAAAGCTCGAGCCTTGAGTACCTAAAGCTCAAGCCTGGTACTTAGTGCTTAAGCCTATAAAGCTTGGATCGAGCAATGTTAAAAGAGATAACTCCAAAAAATATTCTAAGTGTTGAAGGAAAAGTCGCTTCAAAAAATAGTTAAAGTAATTTGGCAAAGTGTCAAATTGAAGCTCGAGCATTAATCCAATGAAGCTCGAGCCTTGTTCCCAAAGCTCGCGCCTAAACCTCAAAGCTCGAGCTCTACTTCTTAAAGCTCGAGCTTCCCATGATAGATTAGATTTTAAGTTACGGGATTATTCCTTTTTAAGTCGTATTTCACTCTAGATGGGCCAGAAGACCTAAAAGCTTACCAAATCTTTATTTTCTTTTATAAAAGAAGGCATAGGCCTTGATAGAAGAGGTCAGAAATTCCAAGTCCTTTTTCTCGTGTTATTCAGAAGGCAGGTCCTGTGGTGGTGGCTTTTGGGGTTTCTATAACTTAGAAGGTGAAGATCCTGGAAGAGAAGTGCCGTCCGTGACGATGGAGACAACTATAACACAGATGATATTCGGCATCGTAATGAGTAGCTAATTCATCTCCTAGGGCACTGATGTAACCCAATCTAGTACTATGGTTTGATTGTTTTAACTCTGGGATATTTTTAATATATTATGTTTTTGATTACATGACTATGAGCAATTAAGACAACTCAATTGGATTTAATGTTTTAAATAGGTTTCGAATTGTTATTACCTTATCTTAGATATAACTGTTCGTTTTCTATTCTCAACCCATTCTTATTGGACGGTATCTCGCAGAGCCCTGCCCGACATAGGAATCGAGGTCATGTAATGGTGTTCTAACGTTTTTATAAAAGAATGTTTTCGCAGTCTATGCTTAGGAAAGATGGATTGTTTACAAAGTAGTTAAAGTAAGTAGCGTATGTAGGTGGATAGTCCATGCAAACTGCAGATAGGTTATAGTTAACTGCATTTTATAAAATATCTTTCTTTAAAACTTGAAGTGAACGAATGTTATTGAGTTCAATTCCTTTGAAATATAATTTAATTAAATCCCCAGAGTTGAAATAGTTAACTGTTAGCCCCTTGACATTTGTCCAAGGAAAGACATAGGCATTCAGGGCTATGCCATGTCTTAGGAACACCTTAGTTCTAGTTAGACAGCCACA